GACCAAACTGTAGCACGAAGGTACTGGGGATAGTAAATTTTTGGCCACCCATCCAATGACCGGTCGTTGCTGAAATTGCTTAAACTTCCACGATCGCAAACCAAACGCACTAACCACCTGCACTATTGAGCTCGAGTACCATTATTAACTACACACATCAAAAGTGTCTAGGGATCAAGCATTTTTATGCGGATTTCTTGAGATTGAGATGTGGCTTTGTAATAAATTTATGATTTTATAAATTTATATGGATCCTTTTTGGTGCATTTCATAATTTGAATCAGGAACTGTGAATCAAATTCGAGTAAAAGATGAAAATCAGCTGTCAATATTTTCCCTATAAAAACATACAACGCATTGAAGACATTATTAGTGCTACTGTTTCCCTACTACTGATTAAAACCAACGTTATTATGGAGCGGCGACGTCATTTAAGCAGGGAAGAAATGCTCAGAGCCGTGGGAATGATAGAAGCTGGTTCCCGGCAACGTACTGTGGCTTTAGCTCTGAATACAAGTCAGAGTGTTATCAGTCGACTTTGGACACGATACCGAAGCACTGGTACCGTGACTGAGCGCCATGGAGGACGGTATCGCTGCACCACACGGAGACAAGACCGATACATTCAAATCTTAACTCGAAGAGCTCCAACAATAACCGCCATGATGTTAGCCGTGAGGCTTCATCACTCTTCAGGGAACTTAATTAGCGACCAAACAGTCAGAAACCGCTTTCATGAAGTGAACCTTCATTCCCGAAGACCGCTACGGGTACCACCTATAGCAATGCACAATCGTAGGATTCGATATCAATGGGCTCTTGAACACAGAAATTGCGCAGAAGAACAATGGCGTTTCGTGTGCTTTTCTGATGAGTCTCGTTTTGGTATGAGACCGGATACAAGACGTATACGACACTGGAGAACCCCTGGACGCCAACAGCGATTAAAATCCTGCCAGGAAGTCCATCCTTATAGTGGTGGAACCATCATGGTATGGGCGGGTATTTGGATCGGCGGAAGAACTGAGTTGATTTGGATCAGAGGCAACCTCAACGCTCAAATTTATGCTGAGACGATTGTATCAGACGTCATCGTTCCTCTACAAGTGCAAATCGGTACCTTATTTCAGTTAATGCATGATAATGCACGACCGCACACCGCAAGAGTTGTAAGACAGACTCTCGCCGCAGCTAACATCAATGTCCTGCCCTGGCCTGCTCAGTCGCCAGACTTGAACCCGATTGAGCATGCATGGGATATGCTACAGAGAAGAGCTCTGCCGAATATGGAGGGTATCCAGTCGCAAGAAGACCTTTTTTTGTTGTTGCAACGAACATGGGCGGCCATTCCACAGCGTGATTTGGATGAACTCATTTTGAGTATGCCAAACCGATGTTCTTGTGTTGTTAGTGTTCGCGGTAGAAATACGGATTATTAATTGTTTAAGTTACCCAATAAAATTTTAGAGAAAACTGTTATTTCAGTCTTTTTTTCGAACTTTTGTGTTAGTGGTTCAAATGTCAAAAATCCCTTTATTAGGAAAATGGCAAATTTCTTTATTAATGCAAAGGTGACTTGGTTTATCGTTACTGTGACAAACGAAAACACTTTATTTGATGAATCCTTAAAGAAAATTTTAATTAATATCAATCAGGAGAAAAGTTATTGCAAAAATATATGTTGATCCCTAGACACTTTTGATGTGTGTACCTTAGCACTTTCGCCAGTTATTTCGGCTGTATGGACCGCTGGCCATCATTGAAAAAAAATCGAAAGGAAACTAATTTTTAGCAACACCGTAACGTATCGCATCAAAAGTAAAAAAAAACACTATTCAAATAGGAAGCCAACACACACACAACTCTTTTCAATCGTCCATTTTTTCCCCCTACCACCAGTAAAGGTAATTTTTTTTAAGCTGTGGAGAAAACCTAGCGGAAGAAAAACAACGTTAAATAATTATGTAACAATATTTACATAATTATATTGTTACGGTGTGAATACAATAACTATTATGTGTCATTATCAAATGTGTACTGATTTTTAGTTCTCGTTACGTCCGTTGTGGAGCTGCTGTTCAAGTTTTCATACAAAATTCAACAATGACATTTCGATATTAGTTCGTGATAGGGGTTACTTACCCATTTCGAATTCGAATAATTTGCGAGCTGGTGCGCTGCTGTTCAAGTTTTCATACAAAATTTGACAATGAATAACGGCTTGTCTTGGTATGAAAACTTGAACTGCAGCACCACAACGGAGGTAACGAGAAATTAAAATCAGTACACATTTGGCAATGACATTTCGTACTCGCAAACGATATTGGTTCGTGCTAAGGGTTATCTCTGCCTACCTACTAGGAACGCGGCAGCAAATGACGCAAAAATACAGTTACAAAACAATATGCTCTCTTTTGGCTCTCACTCATATCACTGTTATTGAATACCGGGTTTTTGGGGGAAAATCGGAACCATTGATTTTTACGATCCGCAATAAAACGGACCACTGTGTCGCCGATATGCACAACTGTTAGTATGGTTTAATTTGAGAATGCAGTACCTACGCTTTTCTGCTTTGATGGAACTTGTACTCTACATTAATCGAAAATATAATTTAATAAATTAATTCCAAACACTTCGCTCAAGTCTATTATTAAGTGCCAAATTTTATTTTGGATAACAAACAGGGATTTTTTAGTGCTAACACATAAAATCCATTATGCACTTAGAGTTATATCAACTTTTATCAAACATGTTTGGAAATAGGGGGCATTATTTTGACAACCTTCTTCGAAATAAATCGAATAAAAATTGCTGTACTGACCACATACGTGCGAGCAGCGGCCGGCAAAAGTTGTATGAAAATCTATATCTGTCGTGTTTAGCGGCAAATAAATTACATAATATACTCATATCTGTCGTGTAATTTAAAAATGGAACGATCTTTTAATCATGGCAACCAAGGAGGTAGCTTATTAAAAATTTTGTTTAAATTTCGAACTGAATTTCGAAATAGAAAGCTGTTTATGAAAAAAAAACAATATACGAATAATACGAGCATTTGTACCTTAGTCGTGGTTGTGTATATATATTTCTGGATAAAATATACTTATATATGTATCAATGTATTCTATCCGTTACCCTAGCATCCCATAACACAAGCATTTCATACTTACTTTGGGGCTAGGTTAATTGGTATCAGCGTAGGATTATTTATTTATCTATATGTCGCAGGGACATGATAAAAACAGAGATTTAGTGAAATCCTGAAGTGATTATACAAATCACGGAGAATATTAAAATAACAACAAATTTTTTTTCTCATTTTCCTGAACAAATCTAGTGAGAAAACGAAAAAAAGATAGTAATTCTGAAAAAAAAAGTTTGCTATGGTATTTCAAATATTCATTTGGTAAGACATCAAAAATCAATACGAAAACCCATATTGGAAACGAGCTTTTTATTCAGCTCTTAAAAAATATGAAAAACATAAAAACTGAAATGTTCATTTTATCAAACACGGTCTGATCTGTGACATCGTGAATTACAAAGTGTATTTATTTTATTACAGGCACATCTATTGGTTTTGCACCGCACTTTGGATTTTTCACAAGAACACTTTTTAAGCCCCTGACCTCCAAATAAGGATAATTTTCCTGCAATTTCTCGCAAACTCAGCTTAGTTGGTGGAACTAAATCGGTAAATTCAATTCAAATTCATTTATTTCGACCAAACAAGGATCATAATCATAATCATTACATTAAATATTCAATCACATAAATATTATTAATTGGCTAGCTGGATGTCTAGGTCTGCCATTAATAATTTCTCATGTTAGCCACATAGTGTTTAATTCTTGAAAGACTGCAGTAGTAAATTCACGCCAATTATCGCTTTGTAATATAATAATATAAGGACAACCTATGTCGAGAAAGATTTTTAATAGTTCAATAGCTATTCAGCTGCTCTTTTTGAAGTCAATTGTCGCAGAAAGCTGATTTTTGTTGCATGATCCTGTTAACGTAATGGCTATTTATAATTTCTGTCTGGGTCGAATGTAAATCAATTAAATCAGCCTGACCAAGATGATTAAAATCGCTAGAGACTATTGGGAAAACAAAAAAGAAGTGTGGATAAAGAATCTGCAATGAAATTGTACAGCATTTAATCTTTGCCTCTATAGCCCAGTCCGTCGACTGATAGGTGTCCTGAAGTATGCGATAAAATTCTTCTGGTGGCACTATTTTCACAACAGAGTCAGAATCACTGATTTTGACTTTCTTTTTAATATTAAAAACTCTGTAGTACCTATTTCCATTACATCTTATTTGTTACTGAAGTAATATTGCTTGTTGGTCCTCTTAAGTTTTAATACTGGTGCCGATTAAAATTGTTAAATCGCTGTAATTTCTTCTTCTATTCTTTCACATCATAACGGTTTTTCCTTATCATGCCACCCCGCTAAAATTGTCGTAACAGCTTTTTTGAACTCATATTTACACACAAATTCGGTCTGAGACTGATTTTGTTCCGCAGCAGAAGCCTTTTCCTAAAATGTGGTGGTAAGTAATCAAACGACAAGCAACTGCGAGCGCAGCTGGGTGCGTTGTGGGCTGCAGTGTAGCTGGGGGCACAGTACCTGACTAGCATGCGGAGAGGGCGTAGCAAACAAGACCTGACAGGTATTTTCGTCATTTCACTGAAATACTTTTGTGCTTTGATCAATGCACTAGATTTGTTTAGGGAAATGACAAAAAAAATCTTTTTTACACACACGAATTAGCCTAGCCCCAAAGTAAGCACTATAAGGCTTGTGTTATGGGATACTAGGGTAACGGATAGAATACATATACTTTACATATATAAGTATATTTTTAAAGAAATACATATTAAACATCCATGACTGGAGTACAAATGCTAGTGTTCATCACACAAACATCTGCCCCCACCGGGATTCGAACCCGGGACCTCTCGAGTCGGTGACGCCATGAAACCCGGCGTACAAACCACACGGCCACGGAGGTCGACAAATGTGTTGTTTTTTTAACATTCTCCGTGATTTGTTCAAATCACTCAGGTATTTGACTAAATCTCTGTTTTTATCATATCCCTGCGACATTTATGTATACTTAAAAACAATACGAAGAAGGACCCCTGCATGTCGCTGAGATTGACGGTGTGGTTGTTTACTTCTTGGGAGATAGAGGAAGTCTTCCAGCAGCGGTTTCTCTTGGGCAAGTACGCGTGAAGCCATTTGCTTATCAGACCCGCCTTCTGCATGCGGTTGATCCTGTATCAAAGAAATTTTGGAGTAATAATAAAGTTCTATAACGTATAACCACAAGGGACATGAAAGTGAAATTGCATTTGTGTAGAGATACAATACGCACCATTATTGCTAAATAGCAATCTTCAATTAATATTCTTGGGGTTCTTTCATTAGTAAATGTATGGAATAATTGTAAACACCAGTTCCCGATATAGTTACAGTCCGATACTGTAACTGAGCAGTTGTGGTACAATTTGTTCCAATAATTTTATTAAGTTTTACCGGTTTTACCTGTAAAAGGCTAAATTTTGAAGTCCAAATTATGTGCGACTTGTAGATTGAAGCAGTCTTATCTTTTTGGCAAAGTCAGTTCAAAAGTGTACTCAATCAAACGTATAAATTAAGACTTATTTTAAACATTCACTAAATGAATCTAAGTGTTTTTTGAATCTTAGTGTTTCAATTCAATTTTTTTCGTATTTTATTTTCTTTATAAATACATAGCTGCTCATAAAATTGTCCTAGTTCTTAGTAGAAACTCTGTTGATGCATGTTATTTTCTATATTCATCATCATCATCATCAACAGCCTATCTTAGTCCACTGCTGGACATAGGCCTCTCCAAATGATTTTTTATATTTCTTTTTTTAAATTTTCTATTTTATATTAATCTAAATGTAATAAAATATTGTTTGTATCCCAAATAAAACAAAATAAAAATAAATAGTTTTACATAGTTAAAGGTAACTTATGTAATATAATACTGCTAGTATCTAACAGATAAAAATTAATTATAAGATGCTGCTTAAGCAGACCAAAATTTGTATGTTATCTGCTTGGTATAAGTTCCGAAAAGTCTATCAGGGATTTTATCAAACAGTAGTGGAACAGGCCCTAAGCAAATTGTTTTATTTTAAAGAAAGTTACACTGATTTCAGTCACAATATACCTGCACATCTATAACTCCAGGATGGATAAGATAACGTTCTGGATATGAAACAAAAAATCAATTCTTCACTGTGGGGTATTTATTTACCTTTACCTTTTTAATGTTAGTCTTAGTAGTATGGCGGGCTGTTTCCCCAACTCGACACCCAGTGCCTATTTTGAGTGGGGATTGGCATCAGTCCTGCCATCCCAGCTCCTTCAGAAAGCTCAGCAGTCCCCGAATGTTGCTCCAGGCCTCTACTATTGTCTTCGGGCTTCCCATTAGAGAAGTCCTTTTTAATGTTAAAAGGGTGGCTGACAAGCGTAGGACTCGCCTAATGGTGACATCACCACCATAGCCTATAGACGCTTGCGATACCAAAAATATCTCTCGCACCGTTGCCTATGGTGACCCAATCCCCTACCCCGTGGAACCCTGGATCTTCACTCACCAACAGAAACACAACACCACCAAAAGATAGTGTTGTTTTACTGTGGAGGTTACTTCCCCAGACGGACGCTCTAATTCGAACGGAAAAAACTGTCTTTATAGACCTAGAATAGAGGTTTGTGGCCATCTTAATGTTAGTGAATTCACACACAAACTAAACAATTAACTCACTCCTTATTAATGACGGGTAAATACGGACTCCCGGCCGGCACAACCATAGCGAGCCGCTCTTCCATGAATTCATCCGTGCCTGCTTAAACATGCATGCATCAACATATTTAGAAACACATCCATGACTTAAATAGAAAATAATGCTCGTAAACATCAAACAAACATTTGCCCCATTGGGATTCAAACCTGGGCCCTCTGAGCAGGGCTTGGATACAGGTATTTTCCGATATCGGTATCATTAGCATTGATAACGTACCTGATTTTATACAGGTAAAAATAATACGTAAATACACTTATTGATAATATATTATATTAACTAAATTTAATATAGTTTTGTTAAATTTTAATGCTATGCCGTAAGATTACCGAAACGATAAATTTTAGGACTAAGTGCTCGTCACTAAAATGAGAATGAAGAACAGTAATTAGTTCTTTCGAATTTAGAACATTTTTTTATGAAACTTCATAGGCCGACAGCGTCAAAAAACACAGCGCGGTTTTGGGTGAATAGTGCCTCTTTTTGTCTAGCAATATTTTCCAAGACTTCTTTCTCTGTCATACGCTGTCCGATTAGATTTTAATATTTATGACAACGAAAGAAAATAAATTTAATAAATAATGAAATCTAAAAACTTACGTGTGAAATGTTACACCATTAGCTATTATTTGTATACCACACCATATTATTTGTATTTCTCAAATTGTGAGTGGACTTTCGGAAGGCACAGGACGGCATTTTAATACACTTTTCTCGCAAAAATGCCTGCGATATTTTATTCACCAACGTCAAACTGACACTATGTTCAGTTATGACAGATGAACACTGATTAGACAAGCCATGATAATACGCTACTTAGCCTATTCGAGTACTGTCAGCTTTCAGAGCGGTCAAACTATGGTAAGGGCATATCTAACGATTTAAATCGTTGGTTAATACAGATTCTTTTTCTTTACATTGCGTTAAGAATGTCGGTGCAAGTAGCCCACAGTATACTTTGTTACGCTCTCGTAATAGGCTGACAAATAGCTAAAACTTACTGAGTGAGAAGTCGCACGTGTCGGTGACTAAATGGTCAACGCTCATCAGGTAGCTAAGCCGCAACTTCCAGTCGAACAACGCGTGACGCTGTTCCCGAACGCGTTCCAGCTGCTTCTGCACTGGAGACAATCTTAAAATTAACACTAGACAACAGTACACTGATACCGAGTGAGAAACTGAGTGTCAGAAGCACAACGCAATCCAGCTGCCTCTTCACTAGAGTCAATCCTAGCATTGACACTAGAAAACAATACACTGATACTGAGGGAGAGTCACTCAGTGTCAGTAGAATAACGCGATCCAGATGCTTCTTCACTGAAGACAATCCTAACAGTAACACTAGACAAAAATATACTGATACTGAGTGAGACACTTAGTGTCAGTCGAACAACGCGTGCAGTGAGCCAGCTGCTTCTTTATTTGAGACAATCCTAACATTAACACTAGATAACAATACAAGGCAGAGGGCAATAGAGTATAGAGGCCGAAGGTATTTGTAGTGGAGTGCCAACTTGTTCACGTGCAGTGAGTGTGATTTCATAAACACTAAATGCCTTGCATACAATTTATAAAACTTATTGTCGCGGTTGGCCCTAGAGACTATAATTGGGTTTCTTAGAAAGGGTGTAATAGTAGATTGTTAACTAAGGGAGCAATAACTATTTTAAAGGCGAGAGCGTTTTTGAATCAGAGCGGAGCAATCATGCTACCTGATGTTAATTGGTCGGGGTTGCCCATCTACAATGCTAGTGATACAGCCATACCACTGCCCTAAGTATTTTTAAGTCTCATTTGAAGAGGACCACAAAAACATCATTCACCAAGAGAACACCGTAGACGGACGCTCATTCCTTTGAATTCATTTTCTAACGCTAAAGTTATTAAGAAAACCACTAAGAGTGCCACTAACGTGTTGATAAATGTCCTTCCATACCATCTGAACTGCTGCTAAGTTCAGCTTCTTTTAACAAAGTCGCGTACTTTGGTTCGTCCGAGTTCTGAAAGACAAAAAAAAACTCTTTTAATAAAGATATTCAATGCAGAGCGTCTGTTCTTAAAATTCAGTATATCACCTGAATCACTTTGTGAGTAACATTAAAATAATCCATAATTTCTACAACAGATACTTCTACGCCATATCCTATAAAAAAATCTCTGCTTAATTTTATTGGTTTCCCATACAAAATTTCACCTCCCATCATACCCCTTTCAAGTTTTATTTTCATGACAAATGTATGACATAACTCCAGGAGAAAAATCTTTAACAGTAAGAACGAGCAATGTCATCGCCATTGTCGAATCCGTGTTTTCACAAAATTCCTAGGATGTTCGCAAAAATCGATTTATCAAATCATCCTACAACGATACAAAACAAAACAACAACACCATATCCAGATAACATCCCTTCAGTATGGCCCAAGTATACACCTATACGGTTCTCTATGAGCTCGGTGTAATGAGATGGCGCTACTCGCGGCAGCCTACTCGATAGTATAAAGTGCCTACATCGCGCTAGAGAAATTCGGAGGCTTGCACATATGTACAGAGCCCGACCAGATCCGTCGGGCCTTAACCCCCGAGCTAACTTCACCCAGATCGATGGAAGATCTTTCTCTTTGACCTTCCTACATCACCACTTTCTCTCCTAACCTATCAGGTAGTATAAAACAATCTCACTCATCTTCAGCTAAGATCCAGCTAGTTAAGATCCTTTCTAAATATCCCAAGTGTATGTGTGGCGGTTGTCTATCAGCTCGGCCACCTGTGGCGACCAGGTTGTAATCTAGGCTAACACTATTAGATCCAGGTTCCATCTATCTCTATACCAAAAATGCCACGTTACTTCAGTATCAACATGATCATTCAGTAAGTGGTCAACACGACCAGAACTGCAAAGTCTTTGTGGCGGTGACATCTATACACGCCCCACATATAACTGATGGAGTATTAAATTACTTGCCTTGTCATGAGATGGGGCTATTCGCGGCGGTCCACTCGATAGTGTGCAGTGCCTACATCGCGCTAGATAAATTCGGAAGCTCACACAAACGTACAAAGGCCGACCAAGATCCGTCGGGCCCGGGCTCCCGAGCTAACATCACCCAGCTCGGTGGAAGATCTTCCAATTTAGCCTTCCTACGTCACCACTTTCTCTCCCATCCTATCATTTGGTTATAAAATAATCTCACTCACCTTCAGCTCCATCTCCAGATACGAGCCCTTCTGTATGGCCCAAGTGTAGGTATGATGGTTCTCTATCAGTTCGGCCACCTGTGTGACCGGCACTTCCTGCTTGGGGAACGTGAGAAAGGCGACCAGGTTGCCCGAGTAAGTTGTCACAACGACCAGAACTACTAGCCACCAAGTGCCAACTACTAGGCGGCCGCTGTCAGCGCGAGGGAGATACATTCCACCTGTAAGTACCGATAACTCTAGATTTACAACAGAGCGGTTTTGAATAATCCAAGTTTCTTTCCTAGCAAACTTTCAGGTTTAACTTTTAGCAGTAGAATAGAACGTCTTCATTTATTTCTGTAATGAGGAGTTCGCTGTTGACTTGTGCAGTGTTCGGTCATTGGATGGGTAACCAAAAATTTGCTATCTCGGATTCCTCCGTGCTTCAGAAGGTACGCTAAGCCTTTGGTGCCGGCTGCATCTGTAGTCGCTAGCACCCACCAATCCGCACTGAGATCGCGTTGTGGGTCACGACCCAAACTCCCAATTCCATCCATAGGGAAAGCCTGTAGACTTACGACCCAAACTCCCAATTCCATCCATAGGGAAGAATAGATGCAAATAATTCCACAATATGTCCGCAGGGTTTGCCAATTTCACTGACGTTCTCTTTACCGCAGCGGCTGCGGGACCTCACAGACCTGGGGTAACAAGATTTTTTAAATTAAAATGCACTCCCGCCACTGCGAAGTGTACGATATGTAAAATTGGCAGGACAGGAGAAGATCGTAAATCAGGTGGTTAGGTCCACTGCGGATACTTCTTACAGTTGTGTTAATTCCTTGCCTCTGTTCTACTCTACAGCTAAAAATTGTCCTGAACGGATGGTAGAGAAAAAGTTAGAATATTCAAAAAAGACTCGAGTGTATTATTGCATCAAATTTAAATAATATTCTTTTATACCTTATAAATAAAGGTCTGTTTCTCTAGAAATCCTCTGGCATGATCCTAAACTGTCACTTGTAACAATGTTATTAAAGATAAAGGTAAAGAATTATCAACAGAATGTTATTTATAGTGCTTTTTAAATATTAATTTATCTTACAACTCACCTTGTTGCAACAAAGCACCATACACATACCAAAGGCAGTTGTGTATGGTCGCCAATCCTCCCTGGCGGGTGATCTCCTTCGCCTCGTAGTACGGACTGAGACGATGCACTATGTACAAAGTGGGACCCATGAGGATCACACCGAGCCCTAGGCAGAGCCAGGTCTGTAGTATGTTAAAAAAAGCAGTTGAATAACTTGTGATGATTTTAGTGATGCTCAGCGACTTTGACCAAGTTTCTATGGCAAGTGCCAGCGGCACAGACGCGCGGTAAGTGCCAGCGGCACATATGCATGGCAATAGCCGGCGTCACAGATACGCGGCAATAGCCGGCGTCACATGCCGCTCGGTAATTTGTGTGTCAGGAGCCATTAAAGAAGACCACAGTGAAAAACCGGATAAGCGCGAGACGGACTCGCCTTCCAAAGGTTCTGTAGAAAATTGTAGGTACGCAACATAAACAACAACGGCCGTAACATTTTTTTAAATTAATATAGAAAGGACATTGTTCAGCGTGCATACATAGTTAGCCTAAGAACCAACAATCATGAAATATTATTTTCTAGGTTCAAAATCGTAAGAAAATGACTGCAAAAACAAAGATTATTGACGGACACTTCTGAGAACTTAAATTATTAGGAATTATACTAAAATTTTTTTGAGGTTATGTTTAATATTCAATGAAACATATGAATTTAGTATGAACTCAGTATGAAGTGAATTAATATTACAACTAATTCATTTTATTCGGTGCGATTTTAAAGAAAAACTATCAGGAAAAACTTGGTTAGGTAGGAATCATGAATAAAATAAAAACTGTAGTTTTGCTTCTTATTTATTGACTATTTTTCACATAATTGTATCATATTGTTTATTGTATTTATTTGTATATCACATGTATATTGTGTAAATATGCAGCGTGAATTTGTATCAGGTATTCTTGAATAATTTGGCAGTATGATCCTCTCAGGATGTAGTGGCACAGGTTCACTAGCACTTGGTAATAAGGACTCTGCTCTTTGGTAACATCGATGGCATATTAGATTATTAGATAGCCGAAATAGTTAAATTAAAGGAAAAACAATCGCAAATAAACACACACAAAGGTAATCCGAAACGAGGATGCACTTTCTGGTATATTAAACTACTCTTTGGAATGCACGAATGCCACAGATTACTACAAATGCATGCAATGCATGCACCACAACCACAGAGTAACGAGTTTTATGCCGGCCCTTCACTTGACAACAGTTTGTCCTTGTCATGCTTAATAAGGAATGAAAAGGTTGATGTCATGTTTTAAAATAGCAAATACGAATAGCCAAGTGAAGTGCCGGCATTGGGAAGAAAGAGTGTTTTGTTTGCAGCGCTGCCATTGATTATACACATAAAATGGTATTTATTGTCTCAGATTATTTATTAACTTTTTAATTTAGCTTACTTAACTGGAAGTGTCCGTCACAATCTAAATACTGATAATTATCGCAAAAAATATACTAAGAATTATCATAAATGCCAAATTGGTGTTGGTTCTTAGGCCAAATTTTAACATTGTCCTTTGTCTATTTTTTTAACTGCTTCAAGGGACCGTAGATTTGAGTACTCATATGGTTTAAATTTCAAGTGTTCCCGTGATTTTTTTGTCTTGAAAGACGGACAACAAAATGGTCATATAAGGGTTCCGTTTTTTTTTCTTTTGAGGTACATACGGAACCCTAAAAATAATATCATCGTAGTTTCCTTCAGCTCCTACTACGTTCTTCTATGATTAGCAGTATCAGGAATTAATTAGCACTAAAATGATACCATATGCAGTTGCAGCCGTTAGCACGTGTTGTCCTCAGCAAAATTTTCACGGCATCCACCCGGTATAATTGCTAAGCCAATAAGGCCTTACACTCAGGTAACCCAGAACCTCATGTCAGTAGTGTATTGCTATAAGTTTTAGCTGGCAATAAGAAAAACCAGGAGGCCTTTTCAAATTCGAAAAACGAAATTTCGATTCAAACTTCGCACTTTTCTTACAATGTTTCTGGTTCGTATTTAATTATAATAATATTCGTCGTCGGAGTATAGCCTAGTCAAAGACAGCTTCAATTTGATAGTTTTTCATTCAAATTAAGTATAACTTTTAATTTACGAAATTAAATTTCGATTGAACTTCGTTATCGAAAGTTCATTTCATCATTTCGGAGAAAGAGAGTAGACCTCTTATTTCAGTAGTGGAAATATTTATAGACTTGATGGCAAAGTGCTATCAAACTATACTAAGCAGCGTCCGATAGGGGCGCTGTTTAGTTTTCATAGAAACTTTGTCGATTGGCCTCTGACGCTTGCGCATAGTTGCACTCGCTGCTAACTTAACAACCGTCATAAATTTTGAATCGTACTGTTTAATTAAAATCTCCTTGGTACTTACGTCAGTAGTAAATGGCAGTAAGAACAGCAGTGCCCTGCTCAGCTCTCGCGGACGAGCAATTATGAAGCAGTAAGGTTGTGAGCTCACTGCTGTCGTGTAATTTATACCTTCAACAAGAGAGACGTAACAGATTTGCCGCTCCAATTGGAGCGTCCGTTTGGGGGAATAACCTCCACCTTACTTTACAGAAGACCACAATAAAATAACACTACCTTTTGTTGTGTTTCTTCTGCGAATAAGGTATGGATTAGGGGATATAGGTAGTCAGAGTAGCGACTAGTCCTCAGGGTAGTCTATAAGCTGTGGTGGCCGCTTGCCAACAGGCGGGTCATATGCTTGTTTGCCACTCTTCTAACAAAAAATTAAAAAAACGTCTTTAGAACCGCCGTCGCAGTCGTCTTCTCACAGTTCTCGGAAAATTCATGATTTAACAGCGCTGGTGAAAAGGCTTGAATCTTTACTTCTGTGCTCTTGCAGAGATGGTGTTGAAAGGGCTTTTTATTATTCGGAAAACGTCGATGCTAGCAGAGATCAAGCGAGCGATTACCCATGAATAGCTCTTTTCGACTCTGAGACTCGCAAATTGTAATAATTCAGGAAGACCGAGCTAGACGACGAATTCGAGACTCGTATGGTGTTTTTGTTAAGCAAATGTTTTTTTTTGGCAGGTAGGCAAATGACTCTACCCCACCTAATGTTAAGTGGTGGTAAAGTCCAAACGCGAATCAAGTTTTGTTTATGTGTGGAATATAATATCCACAACACAAGGGTGGAGACGTTGCCCAAGTATTGACTATCGGCAATTTTCTCGCTCAAGAAATGTACAATAGAATACATTCCGTGTAAGCAAAAGAACCGCCAGTTCACACCGCCGACGAGAAAACTCTCCACTAGTGTATCTCTAAGCGAAGAGCTTACAAAGATAGTACCTACTCATATACATATACAGGCTCAGCTATGCTCACATGTCTCAAAAGGCGCGCGCGTGCATTTTCGTTCATGATTGTCACCGAGAGCGAGTAGCGAGAGAAATCGCCCGGCGTACTCGCACTGTCTCTTATAGTCCACTGATAAAACTATCGCAACTGTACACTCGCGACCCGTTGCTTGCCATTCTCGTCGGGGGTGGGACATGTGCCTTAGCGAAAACACTACAACAAACGTGAGCCACCCTGGCAGTAAATAACGCGCTTATTAGCATTATCTCTAACTTGTCTCTAAGCTTAGCACTAAGTGGGTATAAATTTAATAAAATCACTTTTTACCTGGTGGTGGATCGGGCAGTATGCTAAAAGCAGCAACTCCTAAAGCCACTTGCCCTTTAGCTACCGCTGCTAAAGTCACCATCGCATCTCGACTGTGAGACATCTGCAATTGAGTCATTGAGAGAGGTAGGTTTTAAGACAAAGTTGGTTAAAACAATGCGTACCTAAAGATTGTATTTAGATAATAGCGCAAAACGTCTTAAAATATAATCGAGAGAAAGTTTTAATTTCATTATTTAAAAAATATATATATTTGTCTGTTTATATCTTGTTCATACTGAGCATAAAAGATATAAGAATTAAAAATGCTGAGTCATAATTGGCCAACTAGTTTTTTCTACAAAGATTGCACTCAGTGCTTATTTTGAGCTGTGTACTATCCCCATAAAATAAATATCTATAGCTTCTTTGGTTATTGTTTAGAAAAATAGAAAATAAATCTACGCTCAAATTACTTCATTAGGTAGATGTAAATACTCACATCTTCTGAAGTCTGGTTTGATATTAAACGCTGTAACTTGCTTGGCAGTAAAATTTTGATGCTAAAAACATTTCACATAAAAATATCAATAAGAAATATTCGTCTTTAAACTACGTATACAAACAGTGCACACATCAAATGTCTATAATGATTAATATAATTAGGTGGATAATATAAATAAAATAAATTGCATATATCCTAATTAACTAAAAACAAAATTTATCATAAAGGAATTAGAGTTTTCATAGAAATTAAAAGTTAAATTCATATTTTCTTGAGATTTCTTTGGATGTAAAAGTTCAGCCAGCGAATCGTGTACTACCTATAACACGTTATATATTACTCACGTGAAATTTTTATTCTTTGCAAGTTGATTGATGATGTCAAATATTAGACCTTTGTAGCTCACGACGGAACCAGACTCATTAGCTTGCAATATGGTCCATGGGGGATTCTAAAAAGTATAAAACATTACGTTTTATTAAAATATCGTCTCCAATTTTGAGATAACGGAACGGTGAAGAAAACAGAATGCTATACATTAACGTTCCTGAAGACAACACGACGCACTAAATTTGACATTTTACTTGTTGCGTATTTTTTCTTATAGTTTAATAAATATGTCGCAGGGTACGAGTATGCTTCCTTCTATTGAATTTCACCTGCCGTTTTGTTAATCAAGTAAACGGCTTCATACGTTTAATTGCCAAACCATATAGCCGACGCAAGCACAAGCATGCATGTCGTATCCCGAAATCACGTGTTCAATTCATGTGAGTCAATTAAACAGAAGCCTATCAACAGGTAAAGAGGCTCTTAAGGAAACTATTCCATTCCATGAACTAGGATCCTGACCACTAGGAAAGTTAGAAAATTTGAAATTCAGGCGCCCAGAAAGCTGCAGTATACAGGGTGTTACAAAAATACAAATAAAGCTTGAAGGGCGTTGAAGTACATCATATGCATGAATGATGTCACCACCCATCTCTGGCTAAGGTACAGAGTTTGATCGTATCGTATACAACACTCACTTGTCTGATTGAGTAGATCTAATGTGTTATTTCTGTTTCATGCGATAGAGCTGCACTCATTTTCTTTTTTCATGAACAGAGTATAACTACATGTAATACCATACGATAACTGTAGTCAAGTAATATGAAATCTTAAAGGCAATAAATTCTTACGTGATAAGTGATGACTGGCAAATCTTTCCCACGGAACCCGTGCTCCACGTGGGGGAATAGAACATCTTCATACCTGATCGCGTCGATCGGTCTCCAGAATCCCACCTGTAGAAAAATATTCATCCGATATATCCTATCCGATAATAAGAGCGCAATCCTCGATTGCTCTCAGCTGGAGTTCAGCACTCAATTAACTTTTAAGTTTGGCTCAAGTTGAATTTCCTTTGCGGTAACATTATAAAAGCTATAATGCGAAACGTCAATAAATAAGTAAAGTTTCGTGCATTAACCCGTTAAAAACTAGTTTTATTTAATGAATGATGTTCGTGAAAACCTGAGAAACAAATATTATAAAAGCTAATTTTCTTTTATCTCTTGGAAAAAAAAACTTTAATTTTAGTTGGAGCTTGGGCGGATACCAACTTTTGATCCCATTTTTAAAGCAAACAGTCATGTCCTTATGAGTTATCATCGAGATCAAATTCAAATTCAAAATTATATAAGTATACAAGCTCTAATGAACGTCAACTCTATGCCATCGATTCGTTAATCTACATCATCATCAGCCTATTAATGTTCCCATTGCAGGGGCACAGGCCTTGCCTGTGAATGGCGTAACGTGATAAGACCATGATCCTCCACGCGAGACCAGTGTGGATTGATGGATGATTACGACTGCAGATCCACAACCAGCTTAAAGTGCCTTCCGAAACATGGATGAGAGATATTAAGTTTTTGGTCAAACATACAATGACCGGTCAATGCAAAAAAATATCGCTTCTACGATCGCAGATCAAACGAATCAAAGAAGAATCAAGAATCAGTTCGCTAACAAGCTCCTAGTTATTGAAGGTCTGTGTCCTAGCAATCCTACTATCCAACTTCATATTTTAAATACATATTTGCATGTTTGTTATTCAATCGCGCTAAAACAGCTGAACGGATAACGGATTCGGATAAAATTTAGTATTCTTACATCGAATTGAGATATAGGATACTTTATATATTAGAAAAATGTTAAGTTACTGTGGGTTTCACAAAAAACTAATTATAACCCGGAAGAAGTCGCAGGCGAAAACTAATAGTGACAGTAAAAGCTTGATGATCGAGATGAAATCTTCCTTACCTGCAGCAATTCAATGTGCTCAATGACTCCAGTAGTAACGTTAGCCGATGGCCCTGTATCTTGTAACACCGGTTCAGTCTCGGAATACCCCCGGTAGGTGGCACCCCAAGTGTCCGCCGCCAATGCCTGCCATGTGCTACAGTTGCCGCAGATGCTTTTAGCCGCTATATATTGCTGTAGATTGAGTAACATGATAAGTATAACTACGCTTCTCTTTTAAAACTTGAAATGAAATACATACAATTCAAATTGCAAATGCATGTGTTGAAGAATCCTTCGTGCGAGAGTCCCCTCCGCACTTGGCCGGATTTTTATAATTGGGCGTGGGTTATATTTATTTTTAAGGTCGTAATATCAAGATTCCTTAAGTTTGTGATATACCATATATATGCTTCAGAAGCCTCCTCTGAATCTTGGAGGGACGGATCACCTACCACTTCTCGTCGGAGATCTGCGCGGCCATCTCGATCTCCTTCTGAACTCACTCATCATCGCTTCCCAGTAACTTACCGCCATACATTCCGTCTGTTTTATCTGCATATGCTTCAGAAGCATGGATCGCCTCTGCAGCTTGGAGGGGCGGATCACCTCCCACCCGTCGTTGGATACTTGGTCGGCCACCTCGAACTCCTTCTGAACGCACTCGTTATCTCATCACAGTAACTACCAACATTATGTCCCGTCTGTTTTACCTGGACATGCTTCAGAAGCATGGATCTCTTCTGAAGCTTGGAGGGGCAGATCACCTCCCACTCCTCGTCGGAGACCTGCGCGGCCACCTCGATCTCCTTCTGAACGCACTCATAATTTCTTCACAGTAACTCACCGCCATTATGTCCCGTCTGTTTTACCTGCATATGCTTCAGAAGCATCGACCGCCTCTGAAGCTTGGAGGGGCGGATCACCTCCCACTCCTCGTCGGAGACTTGTGCGGCCACCTCGAACTCCTCCTGCACCGCCGCGTCCAGCGCCGAAACGAACGCACTCATCATCTCCTCGCAGTAACACATTATACCGTTCTGTAAGTATTACAAGAATTAGTAGATGGATCAAGGATTTATTTTATATGCTTTACTTTGTAAAATGCCGAGTTTAAACATTTATACGTAAACACCACAGAACACAGAAAGAGGTTAGAAGGGCCTTTTGGGCGGGGCAAGGGTGCCATAGTTATGTGTGAGCAATTTCTCATAATTTGACCAAAACTTGGTTCTGATTGCGTCGTCGCTTTCGGGTATTAGCGGTGATTAGTTCGATTGTTTGATATCACGTCGTTTGATTGGCTATTATCTATAAGGGAGAAGTGTAGTGAGGGCGAGTCGGCGACATCGGTTCCCGTACAAACACTCGCTGCATATACAATTCAATTCTGCTTACTTAATCCAATTAACAGTCGCTTTAATAAGTTGGTTGTCTTTGATAAATAGCATAACTCAAAGCTCTGGAACTTATTAAACCAGACAGTTTTTGTTATTCAATGACAATAGCGAAATAGTTCAGTGATTAAATCGGCCATTGAATAGATTTGAATTATAGGCCATGTGAATTCTGATAAACATTTGACGACTTAAAGATGCTCGTGGTGATTAGAAAAAGTGCTACGATAAGAAAGCATCAAGCTATAACCTTATATGCGTTCCACAGGCAATCTCAAACTATAGACAGAATTCGTATCTCTTGCGTGCAGGTAATAGTTTTAATATCTGAGAAAACTGGCATTGATTTGTTTTACACTAACATTCCATCACTGAGGCGGGTACTGAGCAGTGCATTTTTCGACAAATAGGCAATTGTACAATGCTTTTTTTTTGTAATAATTATGTTAAAAATGTGCTTAATTATGGTGTAGTGTGTTTTTATTAGTGAAGACCTGTAATTGGCTTTCTGATGTTATTTAAGTTTGTATTATTTTTATTAATAGCTGTTGGTCTTCCAAAAAATAAATAAATAAATAACAGAGAGAAACTAATAAAACCGTTTCTAAAAATTTGAGTACAGCCGATTCATCACTTACTTTACAATCAGGACTTGTATCCGTTATGTTGTATATGAAAGCTACATTCTCTCCCTCGTATAAAGTGTTGATGTGGCTCGACAGATTGCCGTGTTGCATGTCCATGTCGGAGATCACGTACAGCCACTGCGCTAGAGTATGCGACATGAGGAGGTCGCGAGCTATTTCAGATAATGTCGTCATCACCTCTGTTGTTACTATGGCCAGAAAATTTTCCCCTGAAAATATTTAGCAATCACCTTTATGATCACATTTTCTCTTACTCCCAGTGTTTTCACTCATAGACTACCAACAAGTGAGATTTAACAAGTTTTCCAAACATAAGCTACTTACTAGAAATCTACTCGAAGGACCAAAAACTGTCAAAATCATTAGATTATAAAATTCATTGGTTCATCTTAGTACACACCTATATACTTAACAGGTAGTCTGGAGAGCACCCTGTGTATCTCTTTCCTCCTCAAATACTCGTTGATTTCGTGTTTCATCTTGTACACGGATACAGACACCGGTGACGTAGCGGTTCCCGAGTCAACTTGTGACGTCAGCGATTGCACCACGCGTGATACCATATCACGACCTAACAGATATCTTCAGTGGCCCAAGCACGAATTTTGACACCTCCGTGATCGTTTTGCATCGTCAAAGTTACTATGAATACTAAGCAGCGCCTCTATCGGACGTAAAAACAAACTTCTTCCATACAAAATTTGACGATACGATTACGGAGCCGTCAAAATTAGTGCTTAGGCCTCAGTTATTTAGACAAAATATATGTGTTCATCAGTTTTTACAACATCAGGGTCGCATTGCATGTAACCTCTGTACAGTGTTGCCAGGTCTCCAAATTATACAGGAGATCTCCTGTTTTTTTGAAATTTCTCCTGATCTACTGTTTTTCTACATGAATCTCCTGTTTTTCTTAGAATACGATTTTCCATGTTTTTAAATTGCATGTTGAGTTGTATTTTCCGCCATTAATAATGTAGCTAACCTATTATAAAATAAATGTTATTGCCTAAAAAAACTAGCTTTGAGGGGCGGCAAAAGCCAACGATTTTTTAAAATCGGACCTGCTGCTGCCTCTATAACAGTATTACAAGCACCTACAATTTAGCAGCACGATGACCCACCATTGCTATTGGTGGTGGGTATACTAGTTTCCCACAAAGGTCATAGAATTATTTTAAAATCATTTACTTTAATTGAAACACAATAAAAGTTGTCTGTAAAATTCTTAAAATATATTCCAAGGCAATAAAACGCTTCTTAGCTATACAAAATACTTCAATGACATCATAAACTATAGCAATTAAAGCTACGACCTCGTCGCTTGGAATTCTATTGAAATGAAATGAAAAGTCATTTATTCAGTCTAGGCTGTTACAAGCACTTGTGAAGGTCAAGAAGCTACGCCATCGGTTCGCAAAACTACGGCGGGAGACCTTGTACTGAGAAGAACCGGCAAGAAACTCAGCAAGGACTACTTTTTTCTCCCTGTATTGATACATACAGAGTCGTCAAGTTGAAAACGATATTTGGCAAATGATTTGTATTCATGCATTTGCTTGGATTGAGTATTTGTTAATGCATTAACAGACATAATTTTGCCTATATCACCCTCCAAAACTTCAAAGTTTTTTTTTCGTTCTTTAAAATCCAACTCAGGGAAAATAGTTCAGTCATCAACAGCCTATTAATATCCCAGCTGCTGGAGCACAGGCCTTCCCTATGGATGGAATAGGGAGATTGGGCCATGACCCACCACGCTGGCCCAGTGAGGATTACTATGAACGAGTGCTAACGACTGCAGATGCAACCGGGACCAACTGCTTAACATACCTTCCGAAGCACGGAGGAGCTCGAGATAGAAAATTTTTTTTGGTTACCCTTCCAATGACCGACCCTTGCGAAAGTTGCTTAACTTCAACGATCGCAGCCGAACGCGCTAACCACTGGCGCCATCGAGCTCCTCAATAGTTCAGTAATTAAGATATACCAATCTAGTAATCAGTAATCAGACAGAATATTGATTCTTACTCGTAGGTTTGTCCTACCGTATTTCTTGTTCAAAGCCTTGCTTATTTTGGGCTTGTAGTAGATAATTAATAAACTATTTTTCTGTTTTTTGTCGCGTACTTAACGTGTCGTCATGCAAAATGACAGCAGATTTCCACTTGAACGCCTTCGAAGTCCTCATATCCAGTATTATTTGGGGAAGCTCCTCCCCTGGATCCACATAAGTCACAGTTATGGCTGAGTCCGTTGGCAGTCTCGGGCAGTCAACTTCAGTCAACGCAAATAAAAGCAATTCTTCTTCTTCCGTACGGGAGTACAAAGACCAGGTATCCTCGCACGAAGCCACGCTAAACACTGCCAAAAATCCTGTAACCAAGCTACTACATGTAATAGGTATACATATGATAATGAGCCAAAGAGTGACAATAGAACCCAATCAGAAAACTCCGGTTTTTGTCAACATTCGATATCTTTAAAACCTTAAATACATTGAACAGCAAATAAATCGGGTCATATGACTGTTACCTCGGAATTCTGATTGGATTTTCTCAATAATATTAAACTTACAACTATTAAAAGTAAAACAAAAAAAATCTCAATAAATTCCTGTTCATTTTAATCATTAAGAAACTCACTCTATTTATGTACATAGAAACTCACTCTATGTAGGTACATAGAGTGAGTTTCTTAATGATTAAAATGAACAGGAATTTATTGAGATTTTTTTTTGTTTTATTTTTATTAAGTGTTTTCCAAAAAAGAGTCGTTTTCAATTGAGGTAATCGGTAGTAAAAAACATAGTAAGAAAACACGTCTTAGAAAATTATGGACAAAAACTAAAGAAATGATAAGAGTATCAGACTATGTTCAATTTATAAAAACCAGCCAAGTGCGTTTCGTTTCCACGCGCAGTGTAGAGTTCCGTTGGTGCCTGTAGTTACCACAATATAATTTGAGCAGGAGCCTTCATTTTCTATATTGGAAATTAGGAAAACCAATTACCTAATGTCAATCTATGTATCTCAACTTAAATACCTAAATCAAAGTCAAACTGCGTCTCAAACACAAAATCAATTCGATATTATTATTCTTTTAAATACGAATGTTAACCGCCTTTTATTGGTCCTCCCAGACGGGGAAGCGGGTGTGAAATCCACATTGATACCATACAGCCGGCTGCAAAGTTATGTCAGAATCTTACTGACTAAAAGCTTCATCTAAAGCGATCATAACATGAGAGGGGGATGATGCGGTATAGCCGCCAATCTTTTCAAGTACTTATATAGTTTTTCTAAAAAATGTAACGTTAGTGCGATTCAGAAGCCGTTGCCGTTGGCTCTCGCGGTAGCGTGGTCGAACTAATGATATTTTATTGCGGTTTTTAAATAGGTACGCTACAATAAATTCATGTTTGCCACTATTAATATTTTCTTCTAAGGAATTTTCAATAGGTAAGATTTTTTTTAACCGACGTTGGTCGACTATTACCCTTAAACTAATAAATCTATCTTAACCGTTATAGCTCTCCTTAAAAGTTCATATAAAGCACTGATACCATGATTTTCTACAGGTTTTTCAAGCCCTACTCGAACAAAAAATTTCAATTTAAATGCATTTGCAAATGAGTACTGATTTTTAGTTCTCGTTACGTACTTTGTGCACTGCTGTTCAAGTTTCCATACAAAATTTGACATTGAAATTTAGCACTCGCAAACTAATATATATCTAACGATTCGTGCTAGGGGTACAGTAATATACACCGTCTCGAGTAGCTAATAAAACAAATAAAATAATCAGCGAGCTTTTTACTTTTTTCGAAAGAAAGCAATAATGTTTAAGAAAAATATCGAAAAGTCTGCAAAACGATAATGACACCCTTTTTGAATATAAAATAAAAAAAGCAAATTAAAATAAAACCGCACGTTAACAATGAATTTTTATAGACTTTTCCCCCTCGCAGCGCGTTAAAAATGGATTTCTATACACTTTTCAGCCCGCTTAGTAGTACAACCCCTTTAGTAGTACCCTTAGCATGAACCAATAACGAAATCGAATAGTTTGCGAGTCCGAAATGTCATTGTCAAAGGTGTTAATATACTAAGGCGGGCCTTAGTTATGGCGCTCCTGTTCAAGTTTCCATACAAATTTGACAATGACATTCCGGACTCGCAAACTATTCGAATTCAATATTGTTTCGTGCTAGGGGTACCTACAGTACAACAATGAGATCCTTTCTGCTTTATTTTTAAATAAAGAATTAAGCACTTTCGGAGTAGGTATAGCATAAAGATAACTTTATATCACCTTTTTATCACCCCAACAAAATAATGGTGATACTTAAATAAGTAGAAGTTTGGCTCTAAAAAGCAGTTTTTATTAACGTAGAGCACAAAACTCGATCATAGCCGACGTTAGTACAAAGTAAGTTGACTAAGTAACTAAGTAAGTAGTAAAATTTAAAAAACTTATTCACAATGTTGGAGGTTTAATGGCCTGCGCCGATGACACACTTGGCCAAACTAGATCACTTTACAATTTCATTTAGAACGGTACGAGTATTATAAGTCCCGCGTCGAAAATGTCCCCCGAACAAACCAGGACACCGAGAGACCGCACAAGACAAAAGTACACGGGAGGCTCTGAAAATAAAAAACAACTCATGTAACTAGGCGGAGCAACGCACAGACCGAAATTTAGCCCGTGTTGCGCACACGAGGGACCCAGTATTCTCCTTTAAAAACGTCTTCTATTCTTCTTAAACGTCATGTTCATTACAACGCGAACGTAATCTGAGAATATTTATTTCCATATATAGCGCGCGCTACTCTAAATTTTTGCGTAACAAACATGTTCGCTCACCATGTGCGTTGAGTCCGTGATAAGTCCTCGGTGGACATTTTTTTTCACGATTCAGGGGCTTTTGTCTACCGCGTACAAAATTTCCTCATCTGCGCAGGCCATAATTGTGATAAACGATTAGAACTTAGTTATACTTAATAGAACAGTGCCAGGCTATCTGGAATCCTTAGCTCAGCCCCAACTAAAACTAACGAGAAACTAGCCTATCCATCAAAAGACTTTCAATACGCATATTAGGGCAGTTATCAGCTGTGAAAGATAGCTGTAAGAATGACACATACTTTTTAATTTCTGTGGAACAATCAAATCATAATTTATTAACGACATTTTCATACTTTCTTGGGCAAAGGTCTTAATACCTTTTTTGAGGCTGATGGCAGTCCAGGAGTAGTAATGTACCACGACGCCTCCATGCTTCAGCTCAACCCTCGCCAACTCCTTGATGTAGTCTTTCACTCCGTCCAAGAGGGTCTGATATCGATCGCCAAGGAACTGGCGATCTAGAACCACCGCTGGAATGACATACACACGTCATCAGCCGGTTCTACTTACGTACTCTTGAAATGCTATAAGGGTGATGACAGAGTAAAGTAAATGAAATTCTATTTAGTCCGTCAAGTAGATTATCAAAAAAAATAAAAGAATAATTAACTTTTTTCTTTTATCAATCAATCGTTTAAATTAAATAGAAGATAAAGCGTGTCAAAGTTTGGAAGCGGGGTCCGTCGCTTCTAAGCTAAAGTTGTACCAAGACGTGACCTCATGCGACATTTTAAGTCAATATATCTCTATAATGATTTCAATGTTTATTATTCTGAAGTCATTTTTTAACTTGACGAGTCTGTATATTGTTACGTGTCGGGATGGGGTTCGAAATTATATGCCAGTTCACGCTAGACAGTATTTTATTCACCACACAGTTAACACTAACATTGTGTGTTAAATGTGTGGTGAATAAAATACTGATCACAATACACTCACTAAACTGTACTTCACTGTACAAGTCTTTAAACAATCGCACTTGAACACTTTACTTGCACCTTGATCGCCTTTGTATTCGTTCCGAAATCGCTATTGAAACTCAAATGTCTCTGCGCGGCGCCAATTGCGCTTATTGTATACGCCAATCGACGCATTCTAGAAAAGTCCCGTTAAATTGGGAATTAACTAGCACCCACGAATGCGTAGTACCTACTTATACCTACGTATGTAACCCGCATAAGTTGTACACAAGTGCAGATGTCGTTGCACTTTCTCCCTTCCGACGCACTTCACAAGGCTTATATTAGAATGAGCCGCACCACTCGACCTTTATCGCAATCGCGGTGTTTTGGTAAATTCTGTCTCTAATATTATCGCGGTTTTGTTTCGAGAGCGTTCCTCCCTCTTAGACATGCTCGTCCCGAACATCATTGCTGTCGTGATATGGTGCCAGGCGATCAACGTGGATTATCTTAGGTTTCTTTCTATCTCCCTGTCTTGTCCGATCGGTCACGTCATAGATTTTCGTAATTACTCTATAGGGTCCATCCCAGCGGGGCTGGAGCTTTGAGGACTTTCCGATTCTTTTCTGTGGGTTGTGCAACCACATGAGGTCTCATTTCACGAAGCCTCGAGCGTCAGCATTCCCATCATACCTGCTTTTCATTTTCTCGCCAGATTTCGGGTAATATTCTCGTACGAGCTCGTGCGTTTCGTCCAACCTTCTTTGCAGCTCTGCGACGTACTCCACTACTGATTTGGTGGCAGCAGGAGGTGTAGGTCCACGGGTAAGCGCATCTCTCTTCCGAAGTTTATTTTCGATGGAGTGAATTCAGTGGTGTCATGCGCTGCGGACCGGTACACCATCAAAAAGAGCGAAATGTAACGATCCCAGTCCCGTTAATATTCTTCTACGACCTTCGCCAAATGATTTTCTGGTCTCTGATTGAATCTCTCTACCATGCCGTCGGATTGTGGGTGTGCCGGAGTAGAACGCGTCTTATATTTTCCGAGTAAATTGCGCATCTCCTGGAATAAGTTTGACTCAAAATTCCTTCCTTGATTGCTGTGTAATTCCAACGCAACGCCGAATCGGCACACTACTTCTTCGCCGAGGCTCTTGGCTATGGTCTGAGCCTCCTGGTTTAATGTAGCAAACACTTCGGGCCATTTGGTAAAATAATCTTGAACCACCACAATGTAATGGTTTCCATCTTGTTTTTGGAAAAGACCCAGAGACATCAATGGCATTTCTTTCCGAAGGAGTTTCTTTTCAGTAAAATATCTCCCGCCCTAGTTTTGCGTACCAATGGCGTAGCTTATCGGCTTTCACAAATACTTGTAACAGCCTAGACTTAATAAATGATTTTTGATTTGATTTGATATGTGTACAAAGAAAAAATATGTTTCCAATACATTTTGATGATCTACCTGATAGACGAATAAAAAAAGTAAGTCATCGTACCGATTCCTTAACTAGAGTTCTAACATTAAGAATTACAAATTAAACAAAAAATAAAACCGAAATTAAAAATCGAAAATGAAAATAAATATAATATTTTGGGATCCAATTTCTTCGTCCACTTACATTGGTTGGCTTAAATTTATTTAAATATTTTTCTAATCAATATTTGCCACACGCCAGTATTCCAAATTTGATTTTTACTCTAATTCCTATTGTACTCTTGTGTTCAATTATATAACCGTATTAACAATGTACCCATTACGTTATGTAAAAATAAAGAATAATTGGACGTAGTTACGCGAAAACGTTCCAACCCACAAGTCACTCGAAAATGAGTTACCATAACCAGGGTACTATTTTTGACATATTACATCATGTGCACACAAAGATGCTAGTATTTTTAGGTTAGTTTCATCAATAAAGTTTAACCCAAATGTTCCAACCCACCATTATGCCAAGGACGTGTACTCAAAATAAAGTAAAAACATTACATGCATACTGAAACATATTGTTAAAAACTCTTAATAGAATAACATATCGTTATAATGTTCCACTTGTCTTGGAACATTATACTAAATTCATAAAACGCACATTTAATGGTTTCTTAAATGATCCATGTGGGTTGGAACGTTTTTGCAAAATCTTTATACATTTTTTATTTCTGCAAAAATGTTCCATGTAATTTGAAACCTTTTAGATTAATCCATACTGTTTTTTTAAGCTGCGAACACTGTTCTAAATAAATTGAAACCTTTTATTATAATATATTATTTTCTAATTTTTTGCTATAAACAATCCACATATACTTGATCCATTTTTGCTATTAAGTATGTTCTAGAGAATAAGATATTTTTTACCAAAATAAATAACTATGGTATATTTGGACGTAGTAACGAGAAAATGATCCAACCCACAGCAACCCCAATTTGAGATAAACGCAATTTACACACTTTTTCCCTGTAATTATTTCAGGCAAATACTATTGGTTTAACTATGGAATGCCAAACTGATTATTGAATGATATGCATATTTTTTGTAAATACATAATACAAGGGGCATATAAATAGGTAAAACGAGTTTGAAATGTTTTTGCTAAATTAATTTTGTATGAACCTTGTTAAATAGCAATTATGCATAAACTTTCCAAAACGAATTTAAGTGTATTATTTTATAAAAATAAACCAAAAAGAAATATGTAAAATAATAAATAACAATGAGGAACATACAAAAACAACAAAAAAAATATTTGAAAATGTATTACAAAAAAATAGAACGTGATCTTTTGAGTTTAGAACCTATGCCAAAAATTTGCTGATATGGTTCCAAAAGTTATCAAAAACTTATATTATAAACATTCAATTTTCATCATCGTATTCTATGATCTCGAAGTCCGGAACTCCACCAAACCCATCAACATCATCAGTGCTTCTTCAGAACTTTGAAGCGTTCTATAAAATTGAAGGCAATCCTCGGGTATGTAGTGGTACATGGATTGTAAGTCCACTAATTTCGCTGGAGCAATCGGTTTGTCGTTAGGCCACAATAAGCAAAAATCAGATTCTTTTATGTATTGTAGTTCTCGTTTTATTCTTTTATCAATTTTCAACTCATTGAAATCGTCTTCCATCGTAGACCGCATAAAAATAGAAAAAATTATATCTTTATCCAACTTAATTTCTTTTGTATGTAGCCAACTAACTTTAGATGAGTCTGTAAACTTCTTCCTATTGATAATCTTCTTTTCCAGTTTAGTTGTACTATAAAATCAGTCTTTGTCATTTTGTAAACTTGAAGAGGTTTAACTTTTTTACTTAGTTCTACAATAGTGGTATCCATAGTGCATCTAATGATACTGGGCATTGTTATGTATTGGTAGAAGGAGAGGTAGGAAGAGGTGCACAGGAAGTGGATTGCCTTCTGTTCTGAAGAAGCACTGATGATGTTGATGGGTTTGGTGGAGTTCCGGACTTCGAGATCATAGAATACGATGATGAAAATTGAATGTTTATAATATAAGTTTTTGATAACTTTTGGAACAATTGTAGTTTTGGTAAATTAGGGGAAATTATGCTAAGTTAACGGCGGCTGGCTACGTGCGCTGCGTACTTGATATATTTTCAGTGTCCAAAAAACCAAAATGGAACTACTGGACGGTCGTACTTACCTATTGAAGCATTCGCTGTTATTAATGAAGGGAAATCCTCTCCTCTCACCCCCACGAACAAACAAAACACAAACAACAACCAAATTCGCATTTTGTACCCGCACAAACATACAACTATCTCCGCCTTCAGAAAACAAAGACCCACTCATAATTCGTAAAATTCCTATCACCATTCCAATCAGAACTGTTTTAATAATTGAGATTTTTATTAAATCCAACTAATAAGTCGGTGAACACCGTAGTCGAAGCATGTTAACAATTGATGTTGACCCGATTAGAAATGGCCAGATATAGGTTCTTAAGAAGGTGAGTTGCTTTCCGTGCTACGTCTGCAATGATACAGGCTGTTGTTATTGTACACAAAACCGTAATGATAGTAAAATTTTCATAAACTATGTACATATAAAACTAACCAAATATTGCCGCTGTTACGACAAAACAATAATAATATATTAAAAGTAAAACATTATATCATAAAATGAGCTCTGGTGAAAAATGTATTCGGGTCGGGGCATTTATGTCTATGGTCAAGAGTGCTTAATTTCAGCTGACTACCTATAATATTATATTTCCTGTCTTTGACCTATTGGAGGCCCTGGGCCTGGGCATATTCAGATAACTGGGGGCCCCTTTGACTTCCGTTTGGTGATTTAACAGGAATTAGGGACTTTGTATTTGATCTGAGGGGGCCCCTATCGATCGCGGATCCCTGGGCACTTGCCCAAAGTGCCCAATGGGAAAGACGGGTCTGGTTACGAGTGTTATGCTGCCGTCCTCAAGCTTCTTCTTCTTTTTCTTTGTCGGTATCACTCTTCACAGAGTTGTCATGGTCATCAATTCAGGTGTTAGTGGCAAGCTTCACAACACGCCGCCACTCATCTCTGATGGCCGCCTTCCTTGTGCATTCGTGTTGCATGATGTTGATTCATTTACTGCAGCTTTTATTTGGTCAGTCCACCTCATAGGAGATCTTCCTCTTGACCTTCTACCTTGACCTTGACCCTCAACCTTCCCTGGACCACAAGTCGCTCAATAGCCACCTCCCCTCGGCGGCATACGTGACCAAAAGAAGTGAGGATACGAGACTGCACCACAGACGATAAACGCTGCTTGATGCCGAGTTCTCGAAGTATAGACTCGTTGGTACGGAATTCAGTCCACGATACTGTGAGCATACTCCTCCAGCACCACATCTCTAGGGCATCTATCTTCTTCTTCTCTAGTCCTCAAGCTAAAACGCGGCTAAATGACAAAACCAACTTTTGAGAAATGGCCAATGAACGGCGCGTATACTCAAAATTATTATTTTGTAATCATTCATATTATACCGCAGTATAAACCTTAGTAGTTTTAGATGTTATCGCATACCATTGTTTTAAATCCTATTGTGGATATGGTAATAAAAAAATATGTAATAAAATTTAAATGTTTTGGAATGCCGAAGTTACTTGCTTAATTTACAAAAAAAAATTGCTACTTACTTTTTTTCAAATCAAATTGAGCCTTGTACTACAAAACCGTGTATTAATTTTACCGAATCAAAATGATTATTATTAAATTGGTACGGTTCTCTTCGCGTGGAAATACAACTTACACTTGCCTGGGTTTGTTATTTTATTTTTTGACCATTTGCATCATCTGCTTAGAAAAATAATAAATTTAACGCTACGTCTAGGACACCCCGTTCGCATATCCAAAGGTCAGGCTTCTTAATAATTCACATTAATTACGTGTACAGCTAACGTGATTACACGTAAATCGCGCAACTTTCGATTACGCTGTCTCTACGCCAGAACCAGGCCTAGAGAAGGAACCGTATTTTTTTAATTTGTTTTAACATAGTAACAGTTTCCTCCAAAAAAACTTAAATGTCATTTTTTCTGTAGCACTTAAAACTTGAGCAATCTTTTTTTAAGATTTGTAAAAATTTGTGAAATACAGACAGACATGACATGTGGACTGCAGCCAGTGGTGTAACTAAGCGTGGGCGAAGTAGGGGCTCACCTACGGCCTCGCTCTCAAAGGGGCCTCGCGTGACCAATTTAAATGCAATAGCACATGACTTAAAATCTCAGGATATTTTTAAAGTGAAATAAGAACCATACAATGAGGAGACATACTCATCACAAACTGGCAACACAGCTTAGCTTTGCAAAACGTGTCTTTACACGCCTACTTCATACAAAACAGTGAAGGTGGTGAAAATTTTGGTAAATTTACGAAGGAGGATTTACGAAAAATCTAAAACTAGATACATTTATCATAGTTAGGTTAGGTTGGTTCTACCCCACAGGATGTTAAGTGGTGATATAGTCCATACGCGAAGATACCTGGTGCAGCAGTTACGAACTGCCAAACCAACAACCTTGCCTGCGTGCACAAACACTTCTTCACGTCCCTGTTAAAGGTCCCCAGATTGTGGAAAGGTGCACGTGCGCGGGCAAAGAACTCTGCTTGCGAAAAGTACGACAAAGAAATGTGTCACCAAATTTCTATGTTCGTGTTGGAATCGTTGTCACCTTAAGCCGGAGGCAACGTAGGCCAGTGGCCGTGGTCCTCTGAAAGAAAGGGGAAGAGAGAATAACTCCTTCGAACATTCGCCATGCTATAGTCGAGAAAAAGCGTTTAATGTCACATCGCGGCGTATTTGTGGAGACTCCAGATTGTTAGTAAGGTTCTGATGCGGGAAGTGCGCCGCTACAACCCATTCAAAGCACCGAGTCAGAACTTGGTGGAGCCATCCCAAAGATGTGATTGTGATGTGATTTAAGTGTAACAAAGGATTCTCCCAAATGGAATATTTTTACCCGTTTTTGCAACATTTTAATCGATAATCCGCTCCTACTGGTCGCAGCGTAATATTATAATATAGCCTTAAGTATTCCTGAATAAATGCACTTTCTAACACGATTTTTTTTTTTCAAATCAGATAATTAGTTATTGTAGTTCCTTAGATTTGCGTGTTTTACCAAAAAAATGGTGCATTCGGTACAACGGGTTCTAAACTACATACGAAACAAAATTTTCACTATCAGTTAAATTATTTTTCATGGAAGGTTTTATAAACCTTAAACCGGTAGTTATATTATGTAATTAAAGCTTGAAAACAAAAACTATAGTCTATACTATAGCTCTACACCGAAGCGAAGCGAGCTAAATTATATAACATTACTAGCTGATTCGGCGAACTTCGTACCGCCCAAAAGTATTAATTTGCAATAAAATAATATTGAGACTTTAAAATGAGATATAAGCATTCTTATTTTTCTCCCCCCGTGGGGAGAATCCATCCTCTTGGAATACCTCTAAAGGCACTCCAATTCGCGGTTTGAGGTTCCCTTTGGATCTCACCGTCCCCAAACTCGGTGACGCTGTAAAGGTCATCTGCGAAAATAAGATTACCCACTCAAAAAAACCCCCGCAGCTCACAAGTCCGCCCGGAACATCCGCGCACATCACATGTTCCCATGCGCCGGTCGGTAGCGGGTACCGTTCGCTAGTCTTACGTATTTTCCGCACAAGTGTTTATTTCCGATTCCGTATTTTATGTTGGTTTTTTATTGTATTGTTTGTGTGCAGTGATATAAATTTTATAGAAGCCCTAGCTTTTCTTTGCCCTGAGATACATTTTCACAGTGTCTCCACCATAACATAACTATTGATTGTCGAATGGCAAGTTTATTTATCTTTTTTGTTGCCAAAGCCTAAAACTCATGCCTTACTGGACTGATTGCCATTTGGCAAAATGATTGAGTTGAGCCCATGTGCTTTAGGGTTGAGCACCACACTAAAAATATGACGTTACTTATGATACCCGGCCAGGGGGGCTTAGACAAAGTAACAATTTAAAAACGATAACGAAGTTCGAAATTAATAAAATGTATGAAACTGACATAAGCCTCGCTAAATCACGTGGTCAATCGTCATCGTCATCGAAAGTTGGTAGACAAAGTTACAATTCGTAACGAAACGTTAAAATAATGAATTGTTTGAACGCTTAATCCCATACAAATGCGTAGACAAGCTGCACTTTTGACGTTCGTCTTCGCTGCGATCGCGATCTTCGAAATCGTTAACGAAACGAATGCTAAGACGCTGTAGATAACACAACAGCATAGCCGACTTTGTTCATCGGCTGTGATTTTGTTTAAGTTGTATTAAATAATCGTAAATCAAAGTATTTAAAATGCATTCACTACGTTTACTGTGGGCAGCACATAATGAAACCATCTGGAAGAGACGCCAAATGCGTTTAAGATTGAGACTTTAATTAGAAAAATTTGAAGATATGCCTGAGTTGTTGTTTATCCAACATTTCAGGCTTAATAAAATCACATTTAGGCGGTTATGTGACGACCTAAAAGGTCATGCTAGATTAAGTGGTTCCTCTGAAATTCCTCTGGAGATAAAGGTAAGAAATTTCACATTAACTTATTTAATTAAATTGTACTTGAAAAATAAGTCGTTGCACTTTATAACCTATCTTCAAAGCATCTTCATTTTCTTAACTTCGTACAAACATTTTATAATATATTTGATGGTATAATGTAATTTTTAACTGCTGTACCTAAATTAAAATAAAACCTCGTAAGTACTAATTTACAGTACAGCTTCTCCCCGAGCCCGAACGATTCATCCATTTCCTTGAGTGCTTACGACCCATCCGCAGGAGTATCAGATTGTGGTTCGAGTCCCACTGGGTTCATCAGACCATTGCCTGATATCTGTCAAGGTGCCACAGGCCAAATCCCCTCGACCATTGGTGGTCAAACGCAGGGTCTGGCACTATGGGTCGGCAGATTGGGATGGTATGCGCGATTACTTTGCGTCTGTCCCTTGGAAGCAGCGCTGCTTCAATGAAAAGGACCTATCATCCAGTGCCGTTGCCATTACTGAGGAGATCGTAATGGGAATGGAGTATTACATTCCACATTCTGATCTCATCAGTAAGGGCACACGTAACCGCTGGTTCAATCGCGATTGTGCCGATGCTGTTTCTCGTAAGCAGGCGGCATATCGCGCTTGGATCAGAGGCCGCGCTCTTAAGGATCCCGGGGTTAACTCATTGAAAGCTGCCTATAATAGTGCTTC